ATTCCCCATGAGTGATTCACTGGAGAAGATACTGTGGTAACACTGGTACATACCATCCCTGTGCCATCTCTCCAGGTGAGCTCCAAGCTCCTGAACTTTTCCTAAACACCCCCAATGCTCAGGAAGGGGAACAGTTTTCATTTCGCTGCTCCATAGTACGCCAGGCTCTAGCCACAAGAATTCTCTTCATCAAGGATAGGGTGGAAGAGAACATCCAGGAAGCCCAATGGGAACAGCAGAGCTACTTTTTCCTACTGGACATCACCCTGGGGAGCGCAGGGACATACACGTGTTGGTACCAACACAGCAAGTCAAGTGGCTGGGTGAGCTCTGCCCACAGGACACCAAGGAACCTGAATGTCACAGGTAAGAGGTGGCACTGGGCACGGGCAAGCTCTACTCCCGAGTCCTAATGATACCGATTAAGGATGGGAACCCCCTTGTACCCCATGGTGTTTCCTTGGGCAGCTGGATGCTCAGCTCAGACTTTGCATCTGGAGTGATTACTTTGAGTCATGGGGAAGCATCCTGCTTCTCTCCTGCCTCTGCAACACACAAAAAGGACACAGTGGTGGTGCCAGATCTAAGCCAGAGCCACAGCTGTGCAATGCAGGGATTGATTGATCCCCAGGGCTGAGAGATGGTGGGTGAGGGGGTCCCCACGGGTGCTTGGTCTGTGCAGTCCCTGGGAGAGCTGGAGACTCTCACCCTGTCCCTTTCTCCTCCCAGGCAGTGGGTCCAGCTCCCAGGCAGGGCCGTCCACCACAGGTGAGTGATTCCCTCCGGAAACAGCCAGTGTCCCCCAGCTTTGCGCCCAGGGATGCTGGGCTGCTGGCACCAGGGTACGGGGAGGATCATCAACTGGGATGTTGTCTGGCTCTAAGGAAAACTCCTGCTCTACATCTCCCCATGAGATCCATTCTTCTCAAAAACCTTCTCTTCTCCCCAACTCCCCTTTCCCCAGTTTTCCACCCCTTCCCCACTGGCATCATTCTGGGAGTGGTGGCCGTCTCCCTCCTCCTCCTGGCTGCAGCCACCTACTGTGCTGTGAAGAAAGGTGAGTGATTTGGGGACACTGAGGGGAAACAATGAGGTGAAACCCAGAGGGGAGGTTGAATCACCCATCCAGGTTGAGCATTGCCACTTCCTTACCCCGTATCACGGGACGGGGAAAGAAACCTTTTCTTTATCAGCTCTGGGGAGGAAAGGTAGCTGTCACTGAGAAGACCAAATGTTTCCCTGCCGCTGGGAAAGATTTGTTCCGAGCCCTCTGGGCACAAGAAGGGAGTCTCCGAGGGGCAAACACGGCTCCTCAACACTTGGGCTGTGCACAGCTGCTGAGAGCTTGGGAGAAACCTGTCTGAACTCATGGTTGCACAGGCTGGGCTAAAAAGATTAGTCCCTGAGTGAGGTGTGGAGGTTGATCCCATCGTGTTCATGGGGCAGCCCAGAGCATGGAGAGCCAGGGCTGGGCAGTAACTCTGCCTCCCTGCCTCTCCCTTCCTTTTCCTTGCAGGGGCCTGCAGAGAGAGATGCCAAAGGTGAGCACTGATCCCTCCTGGCTGTGGGGCTGGGGCTGATGGGAATGCGGGTGTCCCTCCCGGATGCTTTGGGGTGGTCCTTGTCCATGGGCAGCATGGTCTGTGTCCATGGGTGGCTTCTCCTGTGGTGGAGGCAGGGAGGAGCAGGGCTTACCCCGGGCTTGACTCCAGCCATGGACCTGATGCAAGAAAGCACCATCCATGGGAATGACCCCAAAGTTCCCATTGCTGTGGGATGGCAGTGGGGCCAACGACCCTTTAATAACTTTTCTCCTCGCTCTCTCCACACCTCTCTTGCTTAAAGGTCTGAGAACTCTTCTGCTGACAACGGGAGTTTCTGTAAGTGACAATTCCCCCTGCACCCTCCCCCTCCTGCCAATGGGCACAATGTTCTTCTGCTTCAGGGTCCTCAGAATGCAGAGCTTGTCCCATATTCAATGCTCCTCATAAATATTCTTTATATTCTCAGTAAATTCCCAATAAATCTCAATCAACTCTCTTCATAAGAAAAGTCCCTGTCCCAAGATCAGCTCTTGGAACCTGGGGCTCCCCCCTTCCAGACCTGTTTTTTCTTTAATCTCCCATGTCTTGCTGGTGGTGTGACACTAATTTAGGTTCTCCCTGCAGATGTCAACATTCATAAAACGGGCAGAGTTGAGGTGAGTTCAGCTCCTGCAAAAGGCTTTCAGACTGGGCAAGCTCTTCTTTGCCTCCAAGATGTCCCCTTCCTTGAGGGGGGAGGACAAGGCCCAACCTTCCTTAGGCTGGGATTTTCCAATGCCTTGCTGTGCCTCTCATTGTTCTCCTTCTACTGTGCCAGGCTGGCCCAAGGGCCTGTAACCATGATGGGCACCAGGAGGGTGAGGCTGCTGTCTTTGGCATTTTGAAGGTCTCCAGACAAAACTGCTCCGAAGCTTCACTGTACGCCAACTTATGAGAAGGGGAGAGGTGATGCAGACGGTTTCTGATAAATCCCACCCAAGAAACATCTCTCAATGGATCCTTGTTGGTTCTCTCTCCCCTCCATAAGGACTTCTGGAAATTTGCTGGACATTTCTGGATGGGGGATCAGGAATGGAACTTCATGGGCTACAATTCTCCTTTCCTCCACTGAGACAGAGCTGTAGCTCTTCTTGAGGAACTGTGTCCTTGGAGAGGCATCAGAAAACCCCAAGAGCCCCTAAACTAAAACACCCCTCTCCTAGCTCGGAATGGGGAAAGTATGGAAAATCCATGAGCTGTAAATAAAAGCATCAAGTTGCCCCCCAAACACAACTGAACTTCTCTTGTTTGCCTTATCCCAGCAGAGGTTTCAGGAGAAATACCCCCCGAGAGCAGTGTCTGTCTGTCTCCAGGTCCTGTGACCAAACCCTGGTGCACGGGGCTGACATGGGGACATCAAAACCCAGCCAGTGTGCGAATCTGCAAAGCTCTTTGGAGCTGCAGCCTCAGCAGGAATGCAAACCCATAGGTACCACCTGAGGATAGTTTGGATGCAAGACCATGATGTGAGAGAGCTCAGGTGTCCCCATGACCTTGCCTGGACTCTCAGCACTCCAGTTGTAGGGGCTGTTTTGGGTAGGGTGAGGGCAGGAGATGCCTTTGGTCTGGGCTTTGGGCTTGGGAAGGAAAGCATGGCCAGGCTGGGAAAGGAGAGGCAGCAGCAGAGTGTGAAGAGGAAGGGTTCAGGCTGTGGGAGATGTCTCAGGTGAGCTCAGAGAAGAGAGAGCTCCCCTTTCCATCCCCACGTATCTCCACAGTCCCTTCAGATCTCGACAGCCCCCCTTTGTATCTCTAGGGCTGTCTCTGGGCAGCTCAAGGCCATTCCTGAAGGGACCGGATCAGAGAGAGGTGACACTGCCTGTATTTTATATGTATTGAGCTATCACACCTTGTACATATCTGTGCCCATCACAGAGACAGTTTTGGTGCAAGTCCTCCAGAATAGAGCAGCCCCATTTTCCCAGGGCGGGAGCTCTCTGCCCGAGAGAAAAGGCCAAGGTGGGCAAGGCTCCCTGTGCCCTCGCCGTGCTGGAGCGCTATCGGGGCTGGCTGCGGGAGCGGCTCACCGTGGCATACGTTGTGGTGGGCTCCATCTCCTGCACCCCACGCTGTGGAGGGAGGAAGAATCCCTGTTAGTTCCCCTGCTGGCTCCGAGCCCTGCACAAGCATCTTCCCTGGTGTGCACTTCACATAAAGAGGAAACAAATTTCTGAAGATAAAAAAAAAAAAAGCATTTTCTTGGTGGAAAAATATGTTGTTGTTGGAGAAGTGTCACCCATGGAGAAGAATCAGGTGAGGTAAATGTGGGCAGGTGGACACAGAAATACACGTCTTCTTCTCTAAGGGCATCGCTTGGGTTCATGGTGGGAAAAACCCAGAGAGACTCCCCACCCCAAGACACCACCACAGACCCCGACCAGCACATCCCGTCCCTGGGGGCCCCGCTCCCTGCTTTGGCACCAAAGCTCTGCCACCACTCACCCTGTTATGTCCAACGTGGGCGATGGTGGCGTCTGTTGGGGGACAAAAACCACATTGTCAGCTGCTGCTTCCCATTGTGGGTTTGGGTGAGACCCATGTGCCTTGGAACAGCAGCTGCCCTGGGGTCAGGACTGAATCCCCTGCCCTGTTTCCCCCTCATTTCACCCCGCTCTGGGCAGCAGAGCCAGCTGCCCTTCCAGCTGGGGAGGGGGAGCAGGGATGGGGGGCTTTGCCTGCATTTCCCCCAACCCACAGAGGACATTGTCTCTCTTTGCCCAACCAGCAGACCTTTCTCTGCCGCTCTGCGCCCGCCTCGGAAACCAAAGTCACCCTGAGAAGAGACGGAGGCACAGGGAGGGTGGGGAGATCTGCCCCTTCCCCCACCCACAGCACCCCCTTTGCTGCAGCCTCTGGGGCCAGAGGTTGCAAGGAGATGGTTTCCCCACCGGCGCCCATCCATGGACCCACATCCTCAGCTGCTGCGCTCTGCTTTGGAGCACAAATCAGGGTGAAGGCAAAATGCAGAGGGGGGGCAAAACCCCCAAAGCCAAGGTGTTGTTGCCCTTGATGGCTGGGCTGGTGTCACCTCTCTCCTGCAGGCAGAAGCTTCCCATTGTGGGTTTGGGTGCTGGAGGGCAGCCCCCCCACAAAAAGTTGTCCCCAAGGAGAGAGGGGTCCATGGCTCACCCAGGGGGAGGAAGTGGTACTCACATTGTATTTCATTGTCAAATGTCACTTCAGTCTCGTGGCTGGGAAGCTGATGTTGCCTGGAGGTGAAGGGAAATGGGTTTTTTGGTCTGTGTCCTGGCTGTGATGGTGCCATTGTGTCCATTCCCATGGATGGCACATTTTATATTGAGTCCAAGGCTCGAGTCATGCCCAGGGCAAGCCCTGTTCCTCCCTGCCTCCACTCCTAGGGAAACCCCCCGCAGACACAGACCATGCTGCCCATGGACAAGGAACACGCCTGGGTAGAGCTCCCCAGCCCCACAGCCAGGAGGGATCAGTGCTCACCTTTGGCATCTCTCTCTGCAGACCCCTGCAAGGAAAAGGAAGGGAGAGGCAGGGACGCAGAGTTACTGCCCAGCCCTGGCTCTCCATGCTCTGGGCTGCCCCATGAACACAATGGGATCAACATCCACCCCTCTCTCAAGGGAGAGATTTTTTTAAGGCCTGCCTGTCAGTGCAGACTGGCTTCTCCCAATGTTTCAGCAGCTGTGGAGAGCGTAAGGCTGAGGAGCCGTGTTTTCCCCTCTCAGGCCAGCTCGGAGACTCCCTTCTTGTGCCCAGAGGGCTGGGAGCAAATCTTTCCCAGGGACAGGGGGACATTTCATGTTCTCCACCACAGCAAACTTTCCTGCCCACAGAAAGGATCCCTTCCCTTCTTATCATATGGGGTAACGAACTGACAATGCTCAACCAGGATGGGTGATTTAACCTCCCCTCTGGGTTTCACCTCATTTTTTCCCTCAGTGTCCCCAAATCACTCACCTTTCTTCACGGCACAATAGGTGGCTGCAGCCAGGAGGAGGAGGGAGACGGCCACCACTCCCAGAATGATGGTTGTGGGGAAGGGATAGCCTTTCAGGGAGGAGGTGACAGCTGCAGGAGAAGCAGAGCAGGAGTTTCCCTTAGAGCCAGACCCAGTCCTGGTTGAAGATCGTCTCCTTCCCCTGGGGCCAGCAGCCCAGCATCCCTGGGTCTGATGCTGGGGAGCATTGGGTGTGCAGGGAGGGAATCACTCACCTGTGGTGTTCGACCCTGCCTGGGAGCTGGACCCGCTGCCTGGGAGGAGAAAGGGACAGGGTGAGAGTCCCTTGGGAGACCATGCAATTGTTGAGATCTCTCCCCCACCATCTCTCAACCCTGGGGATCAATCAATCCCTGCATTGCACAGCTGTGGCTCTGGCTTAGATCTGGCACCACCACTGTGCCCTTGGCGTGATGCTGGGGCAGGAGAGGAGCAGGATGCTCCCTGTGACTTGGAGGAGTTGCCCTGGTGGCAAAGTCTGAGCTGAGTATCCAGCTGCCCAAGGAAACACCATGGTGTACAAGGGAGTTCCCATCCTTAATTGGTGTCATTAGGACTCTGGAGTGGAGCCTGCCCGTGCCCAGTGCCACCTCTCACCTGTGACAGACAGGTTCTGTGGGTTGCTGAGGGCAGAGCTCACCCAGCTGCTCGCCTTCCTGTGCTGGTACCCACACGTGTATGTCCCTGCGCTCCCCAGGGTGACGTCCAGCAGGAAAAAGTAGCTCTGCTGCTTCCATAGGGCTTTCTTGACTCTGCCAAGGCCCCAGGCCCCGCTCCCAAAGCCTGGCAGCCCCAGCCCCGTCCCCCACACGGGCCCAGCTCCCACTCACCCAACAGCAGCAAGGCGACGGTGGGGAGATGGGCCATGGGCGCCCAACTGCCCGCACCCGACGGCCCCTTCCCCATCCCTGGCTGGCCGGAGCTGGCAGGCTCTGCTTTCGCAGCAGCTGAGGCAGCGCCACAAGAGGTGTCCACTCTGGGCGTTGCTGCGCCTGGGAACAACCCACGGGTGGCCGCAGGCGCTTCCCCACACAGAGGAGACACCAAGTCTCTTGGCGGTCCTCTGCTGAGCCCTGCGCATCCTCTGGGGCTTTTCTTCCTGCCTCTCCTGGCTCCTTCTCATGGCTGTGGGGTGGCTGAGTCTCCTGAGGTCCTCTTTGGCCATGGGAAGTGAGGGAATCACAACAAGCAGCCTCTCGTGCTCCCTGTGCCTTGGAAAGACCCACATCTGGGATCTTTTTTGCCAGGGTCATCTTCTACCTAGCCCCAAACCTCAGACCCTGCAGACAGAGCAGACTACAACAAGGCAGGTTGGTGGAGCAGGACTCTGGTGGCAGCCTGTCTGTCTGCATGGAGGAGGGAGGGATTTTGCCACCAGGACTGTCTTGGCCCAGGGAGAGGAACAGCAGCACCTGAGAAGTCAACACAAATTGTGATGTACCAGGCTCTCAGCTGTGCATTGCACATGGTGACGTATGTCTGCCCTGGAGAAGAGAGATGGAGATCTCGGAGACCTTTTCCAATTGAGATGGGTCAGGAAGGAAAGGCCAGGCAGAAACATGAGTGCAGGAAGATGCTCATGACTTTTCATGGGATTTTTTGGCATGTGAGACTCTTGGAACTTTCTTGTAGAGAACAGTGGATCCCACTTGAAGGACAGTCCCAGACGGTCTCAGCACCATCTCAGCTCAGAGCAGCCACTGCTCTTCGCTGCAGCTGCTGGTGCTCAGGTGAACTTACTCTAAAAATAGCCATCCCTTTCTCACATCAGCTCTCTCAGCAGCGAGCTATTTGCCTCCTACTCATTTTGCAGGCTCACACGTTGACCACATGAGAACTTGGCAAGACGAGCTCTCCCAGGGACTGCACAGACCAAGCACACGTGGGGACCCCCTCACCCACCATCTCTCAACCCTGGCAATCAATTGATCCCTGCATTGCACAGCTGTGGCTCTGGCTTAGATCTGGCACCACCACTGTGTCCTTTTGCATGATGCTGGGGCAGGAGAGGAGAAGGATGCTCCCTGTGACTGGGAGGAGTGTCCCCAGTGGCAAAGGCTGGGCTGAACTGCATCCTGACCCCCA